GGAGGTTCTGGAGCTGCTGAGGGTGCTGGCGCTGGAGGTTCTGGAGCTGCTGCGGGTACTGGCGCTGAGGGTTCTGAGTCTGCTGTTGCGCGGTTTCCTTGGAGTAGCCGCCTTCGTCCGCGTGTGCCTCTCACCTCGCAGCAGCTGCACGACTGGTACGGTCGCCGTCAGGGTCGCGCTTCTGGAGCTCGGGGCTCTGCCGCTGGAGGTACTTCTGCTGTCGTCACTGGAGCTGGGAGTGGTGCTGGTCCCGGAGGTGCTCGTACTGGAGGTACTGGAGCTGCTGGGGCTGGAGGTGCTGAGCCTGAGGGTGCTGCTGCTGGAGGCACTGAGGCTGGAGACCCTGGGACTAGAGGTGCCGGTTCTGGGGGTGCTGCTGTTGGTGGAGCTGGTCCTAGAGGAGCTGGCGCTGAGGGTTCTGGAGCTGCTGGAGGTGCTGGCGCTGGTGGCGCTGGAGCTGGAGGTTCTGGAGCTGCTGAGGGTACTGGCGCTGGAGGTTCTGGAGCTGCTGGAGGTACTGGCGCTGGTGGCGCTGGAGCTGGAGGTTCTGGAGCTGCTGAGGGTGCTGGCGCTGGAGGTTCTGGAGCTGCTGGAGGTGCTGGAGCTGCTGGGGGTACTGGAGCTACTGGTGCTGGTGTCACTGCACAGCCGCGCCTGTTCTTCGCTCCACCGTCTCCGTCGTCTCAGCCACCGCCTGACTCTGTGCTTCGCCAGGTTCTTAGTCTCCCGTCGTCTACTGGTCTTCCGTTACAGCCTGGCTCACCGCTGCCTGCTCCTTCTCCTTACACTGAGCAGCTAGGGGGTCTTACTGAGCGTCGTGAGCCTGCGTCGCGTCCTGTCTCGCCTGTCTGTTCTGGTCGTTCCGGTCGTCGTGTTCCTCGTCCGCGTCTGCCGGCTGTCCCCGACACCCACCTCGTAGTCCGCAGCGTCTGACGACGGTCCTTCCTCTCCTCCGCAGCGTGTTCCTCTGCCGTCCCCTCCTGCGTCTTCTCTGCCTGTCGTTGCGGACCCCGAGTCTGACCGGTTTCGTGCTGAGCACCCTACTGTCACGCGTCTGCTAGCCATTGTTGTCACTGACCCGTCGTTTGAGTCTGCTGCTACGTCTGCCTTAGTTGCTGAGCTTGTTGACTTTGCTGCTGCCTGTCGTCTAGACTACGCCGCTAGTCTTGTTGCTGAGTCTGAGTCTGTCTGTCCTCCGTCCGTCGGGGGTGAGTGTGCTCTTGGCACGGACGTCCTTGAGGACAGGCAGGAGGACCTTGAGTGTCTTGCAGCCGATGCGCCTCATCTCGTGTCCATGCTGCTTGCCCCTGAGGGAGACCCGGATGCTCCAGACATCCCGACCCCGCGCTCTTACGCTGAGGCGATCGCGGGTGAGTACTCCTCTCAGTGGCAGACAGCCATGGATGCAGAGATGCCATCCTGGAAGTCCACAGGCACCTACGTCGACGAGGTTCCCCCACCTGGGGCGAACATCGTCAGTGGCATGTGGATTTTCAGGGTGAAGCGGCCGCCAGGTTCTCCGCCTGCCTTCAAGGCGCGTTACGTTGCACGAGGTTTCAGTCAGCGAGAGGGAGTAGACTTCTTCCAGACCTTCTCCCCCACCCCGAAGATGACCACTCTTCGGGTGCTGCTGCACGTTGCCGCTCAGCGAGACTACGAGCTTCACTCTCTTGACTTCAGCACAGCCTTCTTACATGGCAGCCTGCACGAGGAGATCTGGCTGCGCCGCCCACCTGGCTTCACTGGGTCGTTCCCTCCTGGTACCCAGTGGAGCCTCAGGCGGCCGGTCTACGGTCTCCGCCAGGCGCCACATGAGTGGCACGACACACTGAGGACGACACTTGCGGCTCTTGGGTTTGCTCCGTCGAATGCTGACCCGTCGCTGTTTCTGCGCACCGACACTTCGCTGCCGCCGTTCTACATCCTCGTGTACGTCGACGACTTGGTCTTTGCCACTGCTGACACTGAGGCTCTCGCCCAGGTGAAGTCGGAGCTGCAGAAGAGACACACCGTGCACAGACCTGGGTGAGCTGACAAGCTATCTTGGCTTGCGGATCACCCGGGACAGAGCACGCCGCACCATCACACTGACTCAGTCACACATGGTGCAGCAGGTCCTTCAGCGCTTCGGCTTCACCTGGTCCTCGGCACAGCACACTCCTCTGGGTACAGGTCATTCGCTCTCAGCTCCACCTTCGGACGAGTCCGTAGAGCCGAGTGGTCCTTACCCAGAGCTTGTGGGCTGCCTCATGTATCTGATGACCTGCACTCGTCCTGACCTTGCGTACCCTCTTGGCCTTTAGGCTCGCTACGTGGCTCCTGGTCGGCACCGAAAGGTGCACATGGATGCTGCTAAGAGGGTGCTACGCTACTTGTGCAGTACATCGGGCATGGGGCTCGTGCTTGGAGGGCGGAGCCCAGTTGTCCTCACTGGGCACTCAGACGCTTCTTGGGTTGACGACCAGGCTACGCAGCGGTCGTCACAGGGTTACACCTTCAGCCTTGGCTCTGGTTCGGTTTCTTGGCGTTCTACACGCTCGTCTTCAGTTCTCAGCTCCAGTTGTGAGGCTGAGATCTACGCCACAGCCATGGCTGCACAGGAGTTACGCTGGCTCACCTACCTGCTGACCGACTTGGGAGAGAGGCCTCGTTCTCCTCCAGTGCTGTACGTCGACAACAAGGCTGCCATTGCCTTGTGTCAGGAGCACAGACTGGAGCACAGAACGAAGCACATCGCTCTGCGTTACTTCCTGGCTCGAGAGTTGCAGCAGCGTGGTCAGCTTCGTCTTGCTCACGTGGCCACTCGGGCCAACACTGCTGATATATTCACCAAGGCGCTTCCGTCTGGTGATCATCAGCGTTTCTGCACTCTGTTAGGCCTTGTGCCTACGTTTCCTCACTTGCTGTAGACTTTGCATGTACTGTGATCTATATATATACCTGCAAGCTTGCTCTGCTAGGTAGAGATCACTGTGTTGTTGTTGTTGCATATATACCTCTGCATGTGAACTGGCCTGGTGGCCCTTTGCTTGTGCTCAGTGTGTGTGGTGACGTTGTGATCCACCCTGAGCTTGTTTTGCTTCTCTTGACTGGTCTTGTGACCCCTTGCTCTCCCCCACTTTGCCTATGGGGGTGTGTCAAAGTATATGCATGTTATATATGTGTAGGCTGTAGTGGGGTAGCCAACATGGGGTACAGCCCCTTTTAGGGTTTCATACTTGTACCCAACTCTTTGATAGTTCATCCATTCCTGCTGCTTGAGTATGACAGAGATGCATGGTGTGAATGGATGTTGAGATATGGGACAGTTGAGATGGTGTGAATGGATGTTGAGATATGGGACAGTTGAGATGGTGTGAATGGATGTCGTTGAGATATGGGACAGTTGAGATCAGGGCCCTAGATATCAGACTTTTTACTCTGATTCAGAGTTCGTTCAGACTTTTTTTTTTTACCTAGTCTGATTTTTTTTGTATGTACGTTGTCTGATTTTTCAGACTTTATTTTTAAGTCTTGGCTGAAATTTCAGACTTGTTTTTGTAGTGTAGGCTGAGCCCTCAGACTTGTAATGGGGGTGCACTCTGAAACCGGTAATACAGGGATTTCGGGTAGCCTGGCGGCGTGTAGCACTAACACCGTCAATCATGGGGGGGAAACCAAATTTTCCCGAGCGCGGCACCGAATGCTGTAATTGCTTCAATTCCAACCAATCGCCTCTGCGCCGCAGGGTGCGTTGGCAAGATTCCCTGCCAACGCATGGCTCGCAGCGCGCTGCACCCCACATCCATCCACCCCACCCCACCTTCCTCCTTGCCAACGCATAGCTCGCAGGGCGGTACACCTTGGACAGATAAGATGTGTGAATGGATGAGATGCATGGGATAGGATATGGGGACAGATAAGATGTTTGAATGGATGAGATGGATGGGAGATGCCTAGGCAACTGCTGCTGCTCCCTGTTCAGCTTCGCACCTTGTTCGTAATAAGAGCGCAGCCTTCTTCCTTTATATGGTTTCTCCATGTTTATGTACAGTTTTTATCTGAGCGTTACACATTCGTATATGTACTGATGCTTGGAGAGACCTCAGCAATCAGGGGAGCTTCGGCTGGTGTGAGGAGAGCAGTGCTAGAATGCCCTCGTGATTCTGACACCCTGCATCGTGCATGGTACATTGGAAGGATGGCACAACAATGCCTTGCGTCACATAGGATACACATACTGATTACTCAGGAGGAAAGGGCAAGATGAGATGGCAGTATGGCAACATGGAAAAGGATAGTTTGAGAAGTCCCAGGAACTGGGTCTCGAAATGAAGCTCTGGTAACCTGGTCGCTTTTGAATCAACTTTTTAATCGGCTCAGAATGAGTTTCTGGCACCCCCTGCATCACTTTTAAGCTCACTTATGAGACGTCTCAGAAGGATTTGTGGTACCATGCATAACATGCCACAGGCACACGAGCAAGGTGCAATGTGGCAGAATCGGAGCAGTCATGTGAGGGTGTGGTCACATGGGCTTGGAGTTTTTTTAGGCGCCTTGAGAACAGGTAAAAGACACACGAGCAAGGTGCAATATGGCAGCATTTTTAGGCGCCTCAAAAGGTGCCTTCAAAACATGCAACAGACACACGAGCAAGGTGCAATATGGCAGCATCGGAGTTGCCATGGTTGGACATGGCCACACGGGCATGATGTTTTTTAGGCGCCTCAATCGAACATGGCGCAGGTACACGAGCAAGGTGCGATACAGCAGCATCGGGGCTGTTGAATCAGGGTGTGGGCGCATAGGCATGTAATGGAATAGGCCATGAGCCAAGGGAATACGTGTAAGACTTTTGAGGCGCCTCAAAAGTTGGGGCTGTTGAATCAGGGTGTGGGCGCATGGGTATGGAATGGAATAGGCCATGAGCCAAGGAAATACGTGCAAGACTTTTGAGGCGCCTCAAAAGTTGGGGCTGTTGAATCAGGGTGTGGGCGCATGGGCATGGAATGGAATAGGCCATGAGCCAAGGAAATACGTGCAAGACTTTTGAGGCGCCTCAAAAGTTGGGGGCTGTTGAATCAGGGTGTGGGCGCATGGGCATGGAATGGAATAGGCCATGAGCCAAGGGGAATACGTGTAAGAGATTCAAGAATCCTTCCTCGCCCTCCGTGTCCTACACCTACTCAACAGCTTTGACTTTGCAGTCCTGCCATTGGCATCAACAGCTGGCCTCTGCCTACACGCACTCCCCTTCCCTTGCCCCCTCCTTCGCCCCCTCCTTCGCCCCCTCCCTCCTCCCCTTCCCCTCCCTTCCCTTGCTCACTCCCTCTCCCACTCCCACTCACTAGCTTTGTCTGCAGCAGTCAAGCCATCAGCATCAACAGCTGCCACGTCAGCACCACGTGCCAGCAGCAGACGCACCACCCCCTCATGCCCTGCCCCTGCAGCGCGGTGCAGAGCGGTGGCGCCCCCTGCTCTCGTCCTTGCTCCCACTGACGCCCCATGCTGCAGGGAGGAAGAACAGATGGAGTGTTAGCCAGTGAAACTTCATGTGCAAGCGGCAGCAACCAACAAAACCCCTCATGACGGTCCCTGAAGTGCGGTGCAGAGTGGTGGCGCCCCCTGCTCTCGTCCGTGCTCCCACAGAAGCTCCACGCTGCAGGGGAGGAAGGGAGGGAGTGTTTTAGATTGCTTGTTCATGTGCGAATTTCAATCACCCAACCTCTCAGGCTGTGCTTCTGTAGCGCAGTGCAGTGCGGTGCAGAGCGGTGGCGGCCCATGCTCTCGTCCTTGCTCCCACGGACGCCCCCTGATGCAAGGAGAGTTTGCAAAGGCAACTTCGTGTGCAACCAACCAACTTTCTCGTGTCCCGCCCAGTAAAATCCAATTTTAGGTCCCGTCAAGAAGCATTGGTAATAGTAGGGGTGAGTCTCACTCACTTTCAGCAGCAAATCGCAGATCTCCACGTGTCCTGCTCGCGCGGCGTAGATCAGAGGCGTGTGCCCGTTCGGTAGCCCACTGTCGGAATCCTTTCCGTACGTGCCACGTGGCAAGCATCCGTCGGCGCAAGCGCCTCGATCGAGCAAATAACGGACACGCGCAACGTCCCCCCGTTGCGCGGCGCCCCCAAGGCCCCGCTCGAAGTCCATTTCCTCCAGCGATTGGTGCATCGGGGGAGCGGAGGCGCCCATGGCACGCGCAGCAGGCGGCGGAGGCGGTAGTTGCGCACGGGGCTAAACGGTCGTTGTGTAGCGATGAAGCCATTCGTCCTAAGGAGCTGGAAAAAGACCTAGCAAAACAGTTACGGGTGTAGAATATGAAAGGTGGTTGTATTGCGGCTATCAAGCAAGGTCGAAAGAGGACTTGATCCAAAACGCCGATGCCGGGGATCGAACCCGGATCTTCCGCGTGACAGGCGGAGATACTGACCATTATACTACATCGACATGTCAAGGGCCAACATTGTAAAATCTATAATCTAAAAATAATGTCTTGTGAGCGATCTGTCTGAGAGTGCTGCTGTCTACCTGCGAGCGACCACATTTCCCTTAGACTTCTCTACTTGTTTTGTGGCTAGACCAGATTCTGATCTTCGCCCACCAAGCAAGATGGCTGCCAGAAATGTTGTTACTGAGATCCTGAAGAAGCGTGGTCGCCTCCCGTCACTGTTCTCTCCGCGTGTGCTTGTGAGTATCAGGCGAAGTAGATAGCCGATCACGTCTCCCATTTAAAGGCGTTACCTTAGCCAATCGTATTCTGCATTGCAGGCAGACGCGGTGCCGTGCCCGGTTCAGAGACATCCGGCCGGCGCAGCTGGAACGGCAGAATCTGTAGGAGTCACTTCCCCTGAGACCAACGTGAGTGGTTCAGCTGATCTGGATGTTTTAGGCCTCATTCTGAAATGGTGTACTTTGTAGGCAGCGTTCTGAACTCAGGCAGTGTGCTGAACTATGATGGTGTACCTCTGAACTCGGGCAGAAATGGCGTCGTCTGGGATGGCTTCTGGCCGCGGGTGGAATCGCCACTCTTCCGACATTCGTCAGCACTTCCGAATCAATCGCCCTTTCGGAAGCCTCATCAGAGGTACTTACCGTCATATTGCTTTCCGTTTTCGTCTCCTTTTCGTGGTAGCCGGTAACTGAATTCTTCTTATGCGTCCGTACAGGAAAGTAGTGCGGGGAAGTCTGATGCCGGAGGACCAGATGGGTCGTTCAAACCTCAGATCGTCTTCGTCCTTGGTACGTTCCTCGCGTCATGATCCGTTAACCGTAGACGATGCAGAGTTTTATTCCATTCCAAGCTCTCAACGGTTCTGATCGAAGGAGCAGGTGGTCCTGGGAGTGGCAAGGGAACTCAATGCGCGAAGATTGTCGAGGAATACGGATTCACCCATCTGAGCGCTGGCGATCTTTTACGTGCTGAGATCAAGTCTGGATCTTCTCACGGGTAAGAAGTCCCCCCCCACCCCCCCTTCCCCCCCCCACTCTCCCCGCAAGGTTCGCGTTGCGCCTTCCGTGCATAGGATGTTTCGCTGCTGAAGTGTACGTTCTTCTTTTGCTGCAGAAACATGATTCAGAACATGATTAAGGATGGAAAGATTGTTCCGGCCGAGGTCACTGTTGGTCTGCTTCAGAAAGCAATGAAGGAGAGTGGGAATAATAAGTTCCTCATTGATGGGTTTCCTCGGAACAACGATAACAGGACAGTCTTTGAAAACCAGGTATACAAAAACTGCTTAATCATTTGTTGTTGTCTGATTGTATTGGTTCGAAATCTGACAGCTCTTCGTTGCTTGCAGACTGGCATCGATCCTGAGTTCATTCTCTTCTTTGATTGCCCTGAGGACGTGATGGTCAAGCGTCTTCTTGGAAGAAACCAGGTGAGCTTGCCAGGCCTTGTCCCTTGTAAAAGTAAATGATTTGTTACAAATACTAATGAGACCTTTCGTCTTCTGCAGGGCCGTATTGACGATAACATGGATACCATCAAAAAGAGATTCCGGGTTTTCTTGGACCAGAGTGTTCCAGTTGTGAATCATTATGACTTGCGCGGCAAAGTGCGAAAGGTCAGTGAAAATGTGCTTGAAGAGTTGAGCCCGTGACAATGATAAGGTGTTTAGGCGAAGTCTGAGCTCTCCCTATTGAATGCTTGCTTTTGCCATAAGAAGGGACAGAAAATCATGCTGGCAAAGAAGAAGCATCGACTTTTTGTTCTGTGTGGCCCCATTTGTAGTTTGGCAGTGTCATACTTTGGAACCACTGATTCCATGCCGATTTTGTGTTGCAATGCAGCTTACCATGAATCCTTGACTTCCATGCAGGTTGATGCCACCCGTTCCCCCGACGAAGTGTTCCAAGCAGTTTCTCCTCTTTTCACCAAGTTCCGTGAGGTATGCAGCTGCTTCTGCTTCTGTGATGAGACTTCTTTGGCAGTACGTTCAGTGCTGACAGTCTTTCATTGTCACAGGGTGATTTGCTTGACAGCACGAAGGCCTTGCTGAATGCCATTGACACTGGAGATTACAAGACGTACTCCAACCTCTCAGACGAACACCTTTCTGCCTTTGAGCCTGAAGCACAAGGTATGTCGATTTCCATGCAAGGGTGTCTTATGTCCAGAGCACTTCCGCATTGTTTCTGATGGTTCACTCGCTGGCTTGCAGGTGGCTTGGTCAAGGGCCTGGAGTTCCACAAATACTATTTCGATCGCAGCACTGGGAATGGTTCATCAAAGTCAACCATGGTCGCACCCCACGTTGCCATTGTTGGCAATGCTGGAGTTGTTTCCTACACTCGCCTTGTTCAAACGACAGATGCTTCGGGGAAGGTGGGAAGCAAAGCGTTCAACGAGACGAGAGTATGGGAGCGGCGGAAGAGTGCTGATGGAGCTTGGGGGTGGAAGAACATTCACTTTCACCGGTCCCAGGTGTGATACGACGTATGGCATTGAACTGGTGTTTTATAAATACTAGAATGTGCCTTGGATATGAAGTGTAATACCGTACCATCCATGGATCCTAGTGCCACACTTTGTATGACGTGCAATGGTCCATCTACAGATGACATTGGAATCTTGATTTTCGAGTACCGGTGCACAGGAGGAATCAACAGAGACGGTTTTGGCAAGGGGGTTTCCCAGATGGGCGGGCAACTGTCAACGCATTCGGCGAAAACCCAGGTTGCTCACCGTGCGATGTGATGTGCGCGACCCTGCTACCAGATGCACTCCTCTGCTCTCGGCGAACTTTAACGACGTCGATTCCTCCCCCACCCGCCGCCATGTGTTGGGTGGGAGAATTGCGGAGATTTGGGGATCTGCTGCTCGCAAGGTGGGGGAGAAATCAGGGGAGGGAAAACCCGAGCTCACAGAGTAAATTAGGGCTGTAGGGAGGAATGGCGCTGTTTCTTGTGGATTTGGGTTGGTTCATCTCGTCGTCCCTTCTATGCCGCACAGGAGTCCCTGGTTTCTCTTCACAGCCATAATTCTCCGTTTCTTCTCTCTGCCGTTTCCGTTTCCAATCTTTTCGCGTGCCACTGTAGGCTGAGCTGCTCGTGAACGTGTGAAGTGGTTTGGAAGACAGGAAGAGTTAGCTTGAACGGCCACTCTAGGGCTTTCGTCTTCGTAAGTTCGTTTCCGCCGAAGTTAGTACACCCGTTAGTGTCAACTTCATCTCGTACTATAAGTTTCCAACGGACTGATTCATTAGTGTGGTGCTCAAGAAGCTAGTATGGAGGACGGCAAAGAGGCCGTCGCCCGTCCAGAAAACGGATCTGGCGCACCGCCGAATGCGCAGATGACTTATGAAGCTTCTCAAAAGCCATCCGGCGTCGCGACAAATCTCCCGCAACTTCCGCCGCCCGTTGCGCGTGGCTTCGAGCCCCCCCGAGACCCATCTACAATCCACACTTCCCAGAATATACACTCGCAAGTAGAAGTTACTTCGGGTTCTACCCCTGGGACCGTTGCCGGCGGCCACGGAATTGGGAAGAATGCAATCGCCGGTCCCGGAATTCCCGGAACTCCTGGAAGCTCTTTCGCGGGTCAAACTGGCGTCGAAGGAAGCGGTCCGAGCACTCCTGGCCCGCCGGCGGCTTTAATCGGCGGAGTAAGCGGCTCGTCGGGGATGGAGACTACTCCGCAACAGACGACGCCGCCAGGTCGCGGCGCGGATACGAAGGCGTTTGTTAAGGAGCTTCAGGCGTTCTTCGAGTCGCGCCATCAGGAGTTTAAGGTTCCGAAGTTCTATGGCGTGGAAGTCGATCTGCTGAAGTGAGTTAATTACCAGGTTACAATGGGTCTATACTTATTCTCACGGAAGGTAAGGCGTCGTGCTAGGGTATTGAAACGGGGTGCGACACTCTCCCTCACCTTCCCCCCCCCCCCCCACAACCTACCACCCTCACGCTCTTTTTCGCCCTCTTTCGAAGTCGCGCAATCATTCCGGCCTTTCATGGTATGATACGATACGAGCTCCGGAGAGTCCTAATTTTAGGTATTTCTCGTATCTAGGACGGCGACAGGGCGATTCCGTCGGCAGCAGCAGCAGCAGCAGCAGCAGTTGCAGCAGGAGTGTTCTAATGGCCATGTGTAATTTCGTTGGCTCGCACTTTTCTCTGGCGTTACCGCGCTGTAATTCTTGAGGCTCCTCAAAACTCGTTCGTAGGTAAAGGTTTTCTTCCTTGTCGTCCGTTTCCCCCCTTCTTCCCTCTACTCGCTTCCCCTTTTCCCCCCCCTTCGCGTTCCTTCCGCTTCACCTCCTCATTTTGCAGGCTCTGGCAAGTCGTCTGCTCTTTCGGTGGCTTTGACAAGGTGACAACTTTGCTCCTTCGTTTTGATGGCATGCTGTGTGTGTATGCAATGCGACGTTTAGAATTCTGACTTGACAAGGTATCCATGTTATTCCCCCTTTTGAAAAGTACGACGTCGTCCTTTCAAGGTCTCCCTTGCTTGTTGTATCGTTACTGTGTCACTCTCAAACCAAATCTCCCTTTTTTCCGTTCCCAATTATCAGGTGACAAGTGGCAAGCTCTGGCGTGTCGTTGGGGACCAGTTCGACCCTCCCAAGTACGCCCTTTTCCCAGTCCCTCCATTTGTTTTTGAGGCGGCTTGATTTTTTTTCTTTTTTTTTTTCTATTATTATTATAAGGCGATCCATCTGCTTTCGCAGCTAGCTACCCTGTCAGGAGAATGTCCAGCAATATGCTGACCTCCACTTGAGGCAACATTCTCACTCATGGGCGCCTAAAAGATGCCAGTGGACCGTCTTTCACTCTCACTCACTCACTCACTCTCACTCACTCGCTCCCTCCCTCCCTCGCTAGTAGTAAACGGCTGCGTCTATCAGTTGCTTTCAATTGTTCCATGCCGAATCGTGTTCCATTTCTGTGTGTTCCGTGTTTGCCTGCGTTCAGGTCATGCACAACACTCTCCTGGTCCTTCCGGGGTTTCTACGAGAAGGTACGCTTCTTAACTGTAACGGAGCTGGTAGGTTCTGACAGGGCTGGTGGGTTCTGGCAAGTTTTACAGGGCGAATAATTTCTTGTCTTACACAAGAACGTTGCGAGACTCTGGAAAATGCACGCTTTGCTCGCATGCTTTGATCGCATGCTCCCCTCTTTCCCCCCTCTCGCCCCCTTCGTCCCTCTTTCCCCCCTCTCGCCCCCTTCGTCCCTCTTTCCCCCCTCTCGCCCCCTTCGTCCCTCTTTCCCTCACTTACAACCTTCCTTCCCTCCCGCCTCCAGGCGTTACCGGAGTACGAGAGGCACGTGGGCGTGGTCCCCTTGCTGGAGCGTACCTCTCTGAACCCCTCTCAACCCTTCTCAACCCCTCTCAACCGCCCCCAGGCACTGCTGGAGTACGAGAAGCACGTGGGCGTGGACCCCATGCTGGAGGGCACTCTCGCCATCACCCCACGCACCGACGGCAAGCACCACCAGGAGGTGGGTGGTGCTGTGGGGGTGGGGGGGTGTGGGGGGGTGATGGAGAGAGATGGCACGGGGTGGGGGGGTGATGGAGAGAGATGGCACGGGGTGGGGGGCACGGGGTAGTGGGCGCAAGAGTGGGACCCCTTGCTGGAGGGCACTCTCGCCATCACCCCGCGCACAGACGGCAAGCACCACGGCGGGCAGCAGGTGGGTGGTGCGTGCAGGGGGGGTTGCGTTGTGATGTGGGCTGGTTAGGGTGGTGGTGCGGCCACGGGGGGGCCTTCCTGGAGGCCACTCTAGCCATCACTCCGCGCACCGATACCACGCATCAAGGTGGGCAGGAGGTGGGTGTGCTGCGTTCTATGAGCCCCTGCCAGGAGGTGCGGTGCGGTTGAGTGAGGTGCATGCTGGTGTGGTGTGGTGTTACCCCGTGTGTCTGGTTGATCCGATTCTGTTGCTTGGATTGCAACAAAAAATACAATCTTGGAGTCACGTGGAGCCAAGAGAATGGTTGAAATTGGAGCCGCGCTTCGCTTTTGAGACTGGTTAATCTTATTTTTTATTGCTTTTACCCGGTTTTGTTGCTTTAATCGCAGCAGGGGGGCAGTGGGCCACGTGGAGCCAAGCGATTGGCTGCAGCCAAGACTGGGGCAGCTGATGGGGATCACACGGATACTCCCAAGGTGAGTGCTTTGCATGTGGGCCAGTTTAAGGTGATGTTTTGGATTGAGGGGCTGAGCACATAACTGTGGAACACTTGTGACAAAGAAAGTTGCACATTTATGTGTATCAAACTATTTCTTTCTCACACCCTCCCCTTTAACATAAGAACCCTGCCAGTCCTTTCCTCTCCCTTCTACTCATCCATACTCTTCTCCCTTCTCCCCTGTTGTCTCCCCCTTGCCCCTCTTCTCCCCTGCTGCTCACATCACATCTTTCCAGGAGCGTGCCACTCCAGGATTTGGCCCAAAGCGGGCCCAAAGAGTGCTGCTCTCATCACATCTTTCCTGGAAAGCGGCAATTCTCTTGGGCGCTTCAAGGTCGCCTCATTCCCCCCCTCACCCGATTCCCCCCCCTCCTCCCTCTCTCCCCTCCCGCTCCCCCCCTTCCTTTCTTCTCACAACACACAACATTGATTCAGGAGCATGGCACCCCAGTATCTGGCCCAAAGCAGCAATTTTTGGAGGCGCCTCAACGATCGTGTCAATTCTCCCCTTCGCTCTCCCTCCCACTCTCCCCCCCTAACCCCCTCCCCCCATCCCCCTCCCCCTTGCTGCTCACACATCTTCCTTCCAGGAGCGCGGCACCCCAGGATCAGGCCCAAAGCGCCACATCCTATTGGGCCCTTCAAATATTGCCTCAATCCCCCCCTCGCCCCTCTCCCTTCCACATCACATTACCTCTATCCAGGAGCGCGGCACCCCAGGATCAGGCCCAAAGCGCCACATCCTATTGGGCCCTTCAAATATTGCCTCAATCCCCCCCTCGCCCCTCTCCCTTCCACATCACATTACCTCTATCCAGGAGCGCGGCACCCCAGGATCAGGCCCAAAGCGCCACATCCTATTGGGCCCTTCACATATTGCCTCAATCCCCCCCTCGCCCCTCTCCCTTCCACATCACATTACCTCTATCCAGGAGCGCGGCACCCCAGGATCAGGCCCAAAGCGCCACATCCTATTGGGCCCTTCAAATATTGCCTCAATCCCCCCCTCGCCCCTCTCCCTTCCACATCACATTACCTCTATCCAGGAGCGCGGCACCCCAGGATCAGGCCCAAAGCGCCACAGACGGACCCAGGATGGAGGTGAGGGAGAGCGAGGAAGAGTGAGGGAGAGTGAGGGAGAGTGAGGGAGAGTGAGGGAGAGTGAGGGAGAGTGAGGGAGAGTGAGGGAGAGTGAGGGAGAGTGAGGGAGGTCATTCCATGCCAAAGCATGGTGAGCCCAGGCCAACTCGTGCATTGCGTACATGCAAGTCAAGTCACTTCAATACTCCCTTCCTCTCTCACCCACCGTGCTGATAGAAATGGAACTTAACTGATTGATTGATAAGGAAGGCACGAGGCCTTAAGTACAAACACGGTTGGGTTGAGCAAAGCTAGGGAAAGGATGGGATGGGAATCCTAGCAAATCTCCAATTGGTGAGTTGGCAGATTTGCAGGATTACGAGGGAATCCCAACCAGATAGGGTTGGGATTACAAATCTACACCCAACCTACAAAGTAACCTAACCGATATAGAATTTAGTACAAAGTGTTGACTGACTATTTCTAACACACCCCCTAGGCTGACAACACTTCAGCCACATGGCGGTCCAACACCCATGGACGAGAGGAGGCGGTAGTGGTCTTGACGAACAAGAGACTTGGTAAACAAGTCAGCAAGGTTGCAGTCGGAGGCAATGTGTTCTGCCTTCAGCTGCTCGCGCTGCACCAGCTCACGAAGAAAGTAGTGACGGACTTCAATGTGCTTGGTGCGGCCGTGGAAGACGGGGTCCTTGGTGAGATGAATGGTGCTCTCGTTGTCACACCAAAGCGTTGGGGCTGGTTGAGGATACCCAAGTTCTGCCAGCAAGAAGGAGAGCCAACGGGCCTCCTGGGCAGCCATGGTCCCTGCATACAGCTCTGCCTCACAGGTCGACAGTGAGACGGAAGACGACCGAGTGGAGCGCCAACTGACAACCCCACTGCCAAGGGTAAAGCAATACCCTTGGGAAGAGCGCCGATCACTCTGGTCATCAGCATAGGACGAGTCACTGTACCCCTCAAGGCGAACAGGGGAAGAGCCGCCAAGAGTGAGCACATAGTCCTGTGTGCCTTTGAGATAGCGGAGGACCCGCTTGGCGGCAGACCAGTGGTGGCTCGTGAAGCGACCAGGTGCAACGTAGCGAGACAGGACACTGACTGGATAGGCCAAGTCTGGTCGAGTGCACATCATCGCGTACATGAGGGAACCAACGAGCTCGGGGTAAGCCTCATCGCAGGGCTCAGGTGAGGGAACAGAGGGTGCAGTGAGTTGGTGCTGCAGAGAGAGTGGGGTGGGCATTGAAGCTGCTTCCTGCATCTTGAACCTTGTCAGAACGTTGTTGATGTAGAACTTCTGCGAGAGGGTGATGGTGCGGGCCGTGCGATCACGTGTGATTTCCATGCCCAGATAGTTCGTCAGCTTCCCAAGATCCTTCATGGCCAGCTTCTCACCAAGTGCGGCTTTGACTGCTGCCAGCTCAGTCTGATCCTTGGTGACAAGGATCATGTCATCGACATAAACCAAGATGAAGAAGCGGGATGGTGTTGCTCGAATGAAGAGGCTAGGGTCAGAGGTGGATGGGTGAAAGTCGAGGGACCCTAAGGTGCTCTTGAGCTTGTGCCATTCCCGGGGTGCTTGCTTGAGGCCATATACTGGTCGATTCAGCTTCCATACAGTGCCTGGTGGAAAAGGAGCTGGAAATCCTTCGGGCCGCTCCATGTAGATTTCCTCTCGAAGGATCCCTTGCAGAAACGCAGAAGACACATCCATGCAGTCAACCTCCATGTCATCTCGAGCGGCCACATCGAGAAGGGTGCGCAGTGTGGGAGGTTTGGCAGTGGGAGAGAATGTCTCAAAGAAGTCCAGTCCACGCTTTTGGGTAAATCCCTTGGCACAGTACCGGGCTTTGAAGACAGGAAATTCGCCTGGAAGTTGTTTCACCCGGAAAACCCATTTTCCCTTCACAATGTTGACGCCGGAGGGAGGAATGATATTTGTGAAAGTCCCTGTGTGAATGAAGGCCTCACACTCTGCGATAATGGCCCCTATCCACTGAGCGGAGTTAGGACCAGAAACTGCTTCAACATAGGTGAGAGGTGTGGGGATGGAGGGGTTGTCTGAGAAGTTGAGGGTGGGAGATTCTGCGATATCTGGAAAGAGAGAGCAGAGCGCGTGTATGGCTGAGTCAATGTCAATCAACTCCTCATGTCTGTCCTCAAGAAGGGAGGGCATGAGCGAATAATCACCCCCGACAGGAGGAGGATTGAGAGAGACACGAATGGAAAGGGAAAGAGGCTTGGGAGCTTTGTGCGAGCGGGTGCGACCAGCGATGGGGGAGGGAGGCGGAGCTGGAGGAGGAGAAGCAGGAGGTGTAGTGGCAGCATCAGGAGCAGCAGCTGAATCGGGAGCAGGAGCCAGATCAGGAGCAGGAGGTGGAGCAGGAGCAGGAGCAGCAGCAGGAGGACGGCGTTGGTAGGTTTTGAGAGGAATGGACTCGGGGGCGGGAAGGAGCGGGGGAGACTGCGTGGTGCTGGATGGGGAAGTGGGTGACGGGGGGTCGGAAACTGTGGAGGGAGCGGGAAGAGGAGGAGATGGAGTGGTGGCAGGAGGAAGGATGTCAAAGTCAGCCCATGTTAGAGAAAGAGGAGGAGGAGAAGGAGAAACTGTGGAGGAGGGGTAGAATGGGTGGGATTCATCGAAGAAAACATCTCGGCTGCGATAGAGTTTGTTGGTGGTAGGATGGAGGAAGAGGTAGTCTGGTGAGTCCAAGTTGTGCCTGAGGTACACGCACGTGATTGTTTTCGGAGCAAGCTTGCCGCCAGCTGCACGACGGGCTTGGGAGTTGAGGAGGACATAGGAGGTGCACCCCCATACACGAAGAGGGCGGACGGACGGCTTTTGACCCGTCCACAGCTCTGCGGGGGTGGTGTGGGTGTGGAGGATGAGGATGGAGATTGTGGAGGGCGGCAGCATGGAGCATGGCGTATCCCCAAAGAGAGGGAGGGGCGGAAGCATGAGTGAGGAGGCAGCGAGCAATCTGCACCAGGATGCGGTTTCGGCTTTCAGCAACACCGTTCTGTTGAGGGCTGTCTGGGAGAGTGAAGGTCTGTTGGATACCCTCAGTAGAGCAGAAAGCTTTGAGAGTGTTGTTGCGGAATTCACCGCCACCGTCAGAGTGAAGAAACTTGATTTTGGTTTTGAAGTGTGAATGAGCCTGCCTGGCCCATTCCATGATGATGGCTGGGGCTTCAGACTTGGCGGTGAGAAGGTGAACAGACACATAGCGGGAATAGTCATCAATGATGACAAGGAAGTAGAAGTGTCCGCCACGGGAACGAACAGGAGCTGGACCCCAAAGGTCCATGTGTACGCGATCGAGAGGTGCGGTAGAGATGGACTCAGTGGGAGGATGGGGCTGTTCCCGAAGCTTGCTCTGTGCACAGTCAAGGCAAGGCGGTCCAGAAAGAGAGGGGGGTTGTGGAAGTGAGGCGGGCAGTCCATGAAGGAGTTGCTTGGTGGCAAGGTCGGAAAGTGCGCGGAAGTTGATGTGGCCGAGGCGGTTATGAAATAGCATAGTCTTGTCAGTGAGGAGGCGGCAGTGACATGAGGGGGAGTCTGAGGATGGAAGCGGAAGGTTGGTGAGGGAGCATGTTTGAACGGGAGGTACAACTAGTGTGTACAGGTTGTTGGAGTTGAGGGTGAAGCGGGCAAGATGGAGTCCGGTTTTGGCGTCAAACATGTCACAGTAGTCAACATCATTGGGAAAGATGGTGATCACGCCTGCGTGTTGGATTTCCCGCTGTGCAAGAAGGTTGTAGCGGAGGGTTGGGGCACAGATGCCAGTGACGGTGCCAGATGGGAATGCTGGACAGGAAACTGTGGAGGAGCCATGCCATTGGATGGAGAAGCTAGAATCTGCTCCAAGGAGTGAGGTGGGAGCCTGATAGGGAACGAAGGCGGTTTGGTCTTTAAGCACTGTGTGGGTGGCACCACTGTCTAGTATGAACTCGATTCCCTGTGTGGTTGAAACACCGATGTACTGCGACCCCTTCTCATTAATAAGACCAGCACCAGAGAACAACAGGTTAAGGCGAACATCAGATGGGGCGCTAGCAAATGCCTGAGCAGGTTCCTCCACTGCCTCGACCTGGTTCACGCGACGGGGTGGTGCCCAGTTGGGAGGGCGCTTGTCCTTGGAGACACCATGGACGTCATACCACTCGTCATCTCGCTTCTTGAAGCAAGTGGCCTCAGGGTGGTTGGTGCCGTTGCACTTCTGCCCCGCACGTGGACCCTTCCTAATGAGGTACTGGCATGGGGGAAAGGAGTTGCGCCTCTGGCCCTGCTGGGAACGAAATGGAATGCCAGGGGAGTAGCGCACAGCATTGACTGATGCCTGGGCTGCAAGGTCCTTTTCCGCAGAGAGAAGGGCCGAAGCGACTTTCTCGAAGGTGAGTTCCTTGGTGGGGAGCTGCTTGAGCATGGAACTGGTGACGTTGTAGGCCGGGGTGAGTCCGACGAGAAGCCCAGCAGCAGGTGCCTGTTCGGGGAAGGTGATCCCAATGTCCTTGAGCTCCTCATGGATGTTGCGGATTTCAGGGATGTAATCTGCCATGCCCGGGCATTCCTCAAGGCGGATTTGGAACATGCGAGGAATGAGGATTGCAACTCCCACGGCAGTCTTGTCATGAAAACGATCCTGGAGGTACTTCCAAATGTCATGCGCAGAGCGGAAGGTGCGGTAGGACTTGACTAACTCAACTGGGGTGGTGGTGATGAAAACCCTAATCACTGCCGCATCCGCCTGCTCCCAGAGACTGAAGTCCGTCTCATACTTGGTGGTCTTAGCATCGAAAGCGCTCTTGGCTGTGGGAGTGGCGCCTTCACCGAGAGGATCGGGAGGGAGAGGCATCTTCCCCTTGCCGCGGTTGAGGAGGATGTCCTTGAGGCAAACCCCTTTGAGCTCCGAGCTAAGGAGGTGCTTCTCCACTCCATAGCACCACTCCCCGAAATTGGTGCTCGTGCCGTTGGGAGCGAGGTTAAGGATGATGAGGTTTCCGACGAGAGTGGAAGTAGAAGTTGCCATTTCGCGCGGAGCGCAGCGCTAAAGTCTCCGATACGTAGCGGAGCGAAGTCCGAAACGCGATTTCGGCAATAGAATGCCCGTACAAATACCCTGTTATACTGCTTCGCCGATGCCCCCTGTTCTGCTTCGCTGCTGCCCCTGTTCCGCTTCTCTGCTGCGCCGCTGACCTGTTCTGCTGCGCCGCTGACCTGTTCTGCTGCGCCGCTGACCTGTTCTGCTGCGCCGCTGAACCTGTTCTGCTGCGCCGCTGAACCTGTTCTGCTGCGCCGCTGAACCTGTTCTGCTGCGCCGCTGAACCTGTTCTGCTGCGCCGCTGAACCTGTTCTGCTACGCCGCTGAACCTGTTCTACTGCGCCGCTGAACCTGTTCTGCTGCGCCGCTGAACCTGTTCCGCTGCGCCGCTGGACCTGTTCCGCTGCGCTGCTGAAAACCTGTTCCGCTGCGCTGCTGAAAACCTGTTCCGCTGCGCCGCTGGACCTGTTCCGCTGCGCCGCTGAAAACCTGTTCGAAGTTAAGAAGATGCGAAAATTTCGACGGAGATTAGAAAAAACCAGAGGCTTACGATGAAGGAAGTCGAAAGCTGAAAATGTCGCCGTTGAAAAACGAGAAGCGCGATGAAGGAAGCCGAATGCGCGCTTGAACGGAGCGACGATGTGAAGTTTCTGAAATACGCTAAGCGTAGGAGCCGGGAGCCGAAATAGGCATAGCCTAGAAGGAGACAACCATCGGGACGCCAAGGATCGGATTCCGCGTGAGCGGAATTTACTAGCTCGATACCATGATAGAAATGGAACTTAACCGATTGATTGATAAGGAAGGCACGAGGCCTTAAGTACAAACACGGTTGGGTTGAGCAAAGCTAGGGAAAGGATGGGATGGGAATCCTAGCAAATCTCCAATTGGTGAGTTGGCAGATTTGCAGGATTACGAGGGAATCCCAACCAGATAGGGTTGGGATTACAAATCTACACCCAACCTACAAAGTAACCTAACCGATATAGAATATAGTACAAAGTGTTGACTGACTATTTCTAACACGTGCTACACAACACACTCGATTCTCTCAATCCTTGCCACAACACAGTATCTTTCCTCCAGCTCCTTCCCCCCCCCCTTTTTTTCCCCAAAATCTTCCCCCTCCAAATTCTTGTTCCCACCCCCAGCCTCTCTCTACTGCCTTATCAACTTCTCCAGCTGGATTAGGAAAGATTACCTTTCTTGTTAGCAGTTGCAAACTCTCATCCACTTGATCCATTCTCAACCATTCTCAACCATTCTCATCCATACCTCATTCTGTTGGCTCTCCTCTACTCATTAATCGCTACCTCCCACACTCCCTGCAACCAACAGAAGAAACACCTGAAGGAACACCTGGGGCGGCGACCAGGGCAGCAGATGCGCCCCGCCCCAGAGGCAGGCCGCCTGGGAGCGGGGGAGGTACACCTGGGGGAGGTGGCACCTCGGGGAGAGAGGGGGGAAGGCGGACTGCAGGGGAGGGGGGAACAGGGCGAGGGGGAGTGGGGGGAGGGGGAGCAGGGGTTGTAGGAGGGCCAGGGGGAGCAGTAGGGGGTGGAGTGGGGGGAGGAGTGGGGGGAGGGGGAGGAGTGGGTGCAGCAGCAATGGATGATGGGGCAGTGGCTGTGGTGAACGACTTGGGTCTGCCGGCCGATTGGGTTCGAATCAACGTCCGCCGATCAGTACGCATGGGCTGGGATTGGCACGGATGGGCTGGGTTGGGATGGGTTGATTTTGGTTGGAATTGGATGGCTTGGATTGGGCTGAGATGGATGACCACGACAGTATATTGTCAGGAAAGTGCAATATGCCTGCCATTTCCTGCCTCGTCGCTATGCTCTCCTCCCTCTGTGCCTTGCCTGCTCGCCTTTCAAGCCCCCTCTGACAACCCACATGATCTTTCATAGCTCTACTCTCGTCCCATATCTTTTGAATCAGATTTTTCTGTGCCCCATAACTCCTGCCTTTCCTGCTGCCCCCCACCTTCCCAGCCTTTTCCTTTCCCTTTATTTAGCTCTAAACTCTTTGAGACCAACGCTCGTGTTCCTTGTCTGTTTATGCTGGAAACTCTCTGCCCTTTTTCGCCCTCCCACCTTCCTCCTCCCCAGCCGGACTGCTTTGAAATCTATGCTCTGGTTCCGGGCCTGTTGCGAGAAGAGGTGAGCTGCGTAGGGAGAGATATGGGCCTTGAGCCGTACACTGTGTGAACAACAAAATATTCAGCAAAGGCTTACAGTAACAGGTTGAGAAGGTGAGGTGTAGAAGCAGGTGAGGGGTATGCTATTTGATTTGTTGTTCTACCTTTGTTTTCCACTTGGACCATGTTGAGCCGCACTGAACCGTGTGAGTCAGGCTGAACCATGTTGCGCAACCGTTACAAAAACCTTCCCACCTCACTTCACCCCGTCTCACCCCAAAAGTTTCTCCAGGTGCGCGTGCAGTGTGAGCCAGCAGGCAAGCTGGTAATTGCAGGGGAGCCAGAGCAACCCTTATTCACACCTTTCCACCGCATTTCACCCCTTCTCACCCCTTGTGCTCTCTTTCTCTCTCTCAGGTGCGCGTGCAGTGTGAGCCGGCAGGCAAGCTGGTCATTGCAGGGGAGCCAGAGCAACCGGACAACCCGTGGGGAGTCACACCCTTCAAGAAGGTGAGAAGCGTTTGAAAGACCTTTCTGAGGCGCGTCTTCTTGAGTCGTTTCTAAAATCGGAGCAACGGGACAACCCGTGGGAGTCACACCCTTTAAGAAGGTGTCTGCTTAGCTCTGCTTGATGAGTATTGTTTTGAAGGGCCTCTTTTAAACCGCCTCGTCTTTTGATGACATTTTCCTTTCAACGCCTTCTTTTTATGGCATTTTTTCTGATCATCGCTATTGTAATCGCAAATGCCTCTTGAAGGCCTCTTTCCAGTCACCACTGTTTTACTCACCTCTTTTTAACACTATATTACCTCCCCTCCTCCCCCTCCCCCCCTCATTGCAGGTGATTCTGCTCCCTGCAGCCATCAATGCAAATCAGACGTCAGCAGTGGTAACCCTACACGGCCAGCTCTATGTGCGAGCCCCCCTCGCCAACCCCGCCCCCTCCGCCCTCTCCCCCAGCTGACCCCCATCCCCGCCCCTGAGCTTCCCCTCCGCCCTGCCACCGATGGGGGGAGGGCAGGGGCAGGGGGGACAGGGGCAGGGGCAGGGGAATCAGGGGAATCAAGGGCAGATGGGGCAAGGGCAGGGGCAGCAAGGGGTGGCGGCGCAAGGCATGGCACATACACATGGGCATGGGTATGGGCATGAGATGGGGCATGGGCATGGGTATGGGCATGTGAAGCAGCAGCCTTTTATTCAAGAGACGAACAGACAGCAGATACCCAAGGAAGAAGGTGTGGAGACCTCGCCCCTGCAACAGCAGCAGCATCATCAGCAGCAGCAGCAGGTGGGATTGAGGCAAGGGCAGGGCCGCAGCAGGGACTGGCAGCAGGTCATGCAGCATTAATGCAGCAGCACGCGAACCCACTGCCCCGGCAGCAGCAGGCACAGCCTCAGGTGCCATTTCAGGTGCAATCTCAGGTGCAGCTAGCTCAGCAGCAGATGCAACCGACTAGAACAAAGGAAGGATCAGCGGATGTGGATATGGTGGGTGGTGCTGACAGGGGTGAGGGGTTGAGAGATGGTAAGGATGGGAATGTGAGTGTGAATAAGCCGAATTACACCACCGAGTCTCAAAATGGGATGCCGCAACTGCTGCAGCAACCACAGCAGGGGAAGCAGGTGGAGCGGGAGACGGGCACTAATGATATGAAGATTGGCATGGCGGTTACCGCTGCTTCGTAACCAGCATTAGAACGAATGGTTTTAACAGTGAGTTTACCTGTGCGGACTGGAATGACATTGATTACCCAAGAAATGTTGACTGTTAACGTGTGCTTGTAAGAAGGCACATCATCGAGAGTCGTCGTGAGTCATAACTCGTGACTAGATAGATTGTCACACATGGTGTTGTTTCTGTGGTTACTGGCCGGTTTTGGAACTATGTAGAGTGTGGTTCATTCATGTTGAACTAAGCTACTGGAAACTGCAGATTGTTTGTTGCTGAGTTGTGTATGTATTGTCATGGTCATTCCATCTTTTGCTTATATTGCCCATAGATGGGTCACATTATAGTATTGCCGACCCTGTAAACCTTCAGTGGTTAGACAGTTCTTCTATTGAAGTGTTCTCTGAATCGCGTTATACGAACACGCCACCCTCCCCCCCGATAGTGAAACCCTAATTCTAATCTCGAGCCGCCTTGGATCGCAGATTAGGAGGGTGCAACGGTTTCGCGACCCGACCGCCTTCCTTTCTATACTTTCGTTCGCGTCCTCCTCACGGCCGCCGCATTCACATCTGTCGAGTTCCGTCCCACCGCTGAGAGCCGTTACCGTCAAATCCACCACCAAATTGGTCAATCCACTGGGACGAATCTGCTCGTAACGTTTTCAACCCCTACACGTTTCACGTATCCTTGACGGCCCTGTCCTTCACGTTAACCTTTTGACGTTGGCGATCAGCGACGCAGCGACGTTAGGCCACACCAGGCGACGCGATGGGGATCTTTTTGGACGAGCCCAAGTTTCCCGTGATCGATCGCACGCCGTCGTTCGGTCGCACGGTTGGTAACTTCACGTTCAGCGACTACAAGAACGTCGCCACGTTCACCGCCGTGTCGCTACCGTTCGGCTACCTCGCAGGTACGTCGCCGACCTGACTTGTATTGCAGATGCGTCACAGAACGAGACGCGTCATTGATTAGCAAGTCCGTTCCTGCTTCGGAGTTACGTACGTTCGTCTAACGTATTTAGCGAGTATCATGTTCAGCACAGCGATTACAATTGCGACCATCGTTCCCAGTGGAACCACGTGAAATGAGTGAGTTTTTGAGACGCCTCAAAAACTCACATTAATTTCACGCGAATTTTATTTTGATCACAGCGATTAGAATAGCACTATCGTTCCCCTTGGAGCCTCGCCTCGCCACGGTTTCTCTACCATTCGCCTACCTCGCAGTACCGCCTCCCGGATTAAGTTAATGTGTATACCAGCGGTCGTAACTTATGTACACTCATGCCAATGAGCACATATACCGGGTCTTACTATGGCTCGTCCTCCCCTTAACAGTCTCCCGTGCTTTCCCCCACCATCCCACTCCATCAGGTGTCACCCTCGTCTCGTTTCCTGCCAACCTAAGTTTCGTTTTGTTGTCCTAAAACAGCAAGAGTTGGTGGAAGTAAAGCCTCCGCAGCCCACCTGTCCGTTACTGACACGCCCCCCACCTTCCCACTCCATCATGTGTCACCCTCGTCTCGTTTCGTGCCAATCTGAGGGGCCCCAACATGTACTGTGCCAGCATACTTGGGCTGAGGGGGGATCTATGTACGCTTACCAGCAGGCATATAGATCTCCTATGTCTGACCTTCCCCACCCGTCTCTTGTGTTCCCCGCATCCCCCTTCCACACTGCCTCAGGTGGAAGCGCCAGCCTGAGGAAGGGGCTCAGCATGTGCTGTGCGGGTACCCTGTAGCTGCACGTCTTCCCCTTCACTCCTCTCGTCTCTCCTCTCGTGTCTTCTTCCCTGTCCCACCTGCAGCAGGTTGGAGCGCCAACTTGAGGGTTATCAGCATGTACTGTGCACGTTCTTTCTGAATCTGGCCTTCCCTACCTACCCTCCCCATCCTGTCTCGCCCTTCCCCACCTGCATCAGGTGGAAGCGCCAACCTGAGGGGTCCCAGCATGTACTGTGCGGGTATCCTTGGGCTGATGGGGGATTCATGTATGCGTACCAGCAGTCACATGCACCTCTCTCTCTATGCTTATACACCTCGTCTCCCCCAGCCCTCATCTCCTGTGTCGTCTCCCCCCCTGTCTCCCATTTCCCCACCTGCATCAGGTGGAAGCGCCAACTTGAGGGGACCCAGCATGTCGGTATTCTCGGGCTGATGGGGGGATTCATGTATGCGTACCAGCAGTCGTCCGGGCGACTCATGGGCATGTTCCCGAACAAGTGGGAGGTGGATCGGGAGAAGTGGAGCAACTAGACGGGGAGAAATGCGTGGAGTAATGAGGAGAAGAGCAACAAGCAGATTAGATGCTGAATGTGCAGGAAAGTGGAGTGTTCTTTCTGGGCTGATGGGTGGTTCATGTATGGATGCATATTAAACTGCAATGAAGACCTACCATACCGTACCATACCGTGATCTCCCGCCTAGAAGACCCGGGGGTCTTATCCTAAATGTGTTGGAAATAGGTTGTGGGGTCTTATGTAATGACATGAAGTGCATAAGACCCCTGGACATCTATTTGTTACACAAATATTGAATTTGTGGTAGTGTACAGGGAATTTGGTTTTTTCATACCCATCGAATTCGAGTCTGCCTGTAAGCGAGGAGTCAAATTGCCATTTTCGTGCCACCACGACGCATGCCACACGTCACACATTCACACGCATGACGGCGGCAAAACCTGCCAGTGCTGGCGCCGCGCCACTAGTCTTGATTGGTTTCGTGGCCACACAGCCATCACCTCATCGGGTTCGGTGCATCTGGTGGGGTGATGGGTTTGTGATCGTTCCACCGTGCACTGCTGGATTGCAAGCGCCTCGGAGAACGTGCTCTCACCCCAGTCACGTCCCTCTCCTCCCCGGCTTCTGAGGGAGGTAGTCCGAGTCGAGGAGGCTCATTTTCATTTTTTTTCTGGAGTTGAAAACCTCCTCCCGTTTCTCTCAGCCACCATGTTCCTACCCAGTAGCTTAGGCTGTTCTCCCGTACACGCGCAGTCATGTGTGCACTGGACATGCTGATGAAGATGCGGGCTGTCAGTGCAGCCCGCGGCCTTGCAGCCATGGCGAACGCACCCCCAGCTCCACCTGCCCCGCCGGCTCCTCCGGCACCACCTTCTCCGCCTGCTCCTCCCGCACCTCCTGCTCCGCCGTCGCCTCCCGTGCCCCCTTTCCCTTACCCCTTCGAACTTGTGAACGGCGAAGAGGAGCTTGTTGGGCAGATGGAGCCTGACGCGTCTTCAACCGATGACGAGGGGAGTGACGGCGCCGCAGCGACCGGTGAAAACCCTACCTTTC